CGGTATTCGTTGACATTTACATTTTGCACTAAATAGTACTTTCCGACACTAATGGTTCTAATGTTATAAGTCAAAAGCTATTGTTTGTTACAACATTAATGGAAATAACCAGGGGTGGAAATAACCCATTGCCCGACGCCCGAGTCCAGTGTTTTTTTCTGCCGGGCAAGCAAATTTGTATATCACACTATACCGGTGTCCAGTTTACTTTCCAATATTTATTATGTGGTTTATTTAAAAATCAACAAGAAAACGGCCGGTATAGTGGAAAAATTATCAGGGCAAGTGATTTTACATGTGCCACTGTACCGGAGTACACTAGCAATTTTAAAGTTCTTTCCACCCCTTATAACATTATTGTTGAAATCACATGTTTTTCTCCTCATGATTGTTATATCTATACCGTATCTGTATCCCGGAACGGTATTCAAATAAGTAACATACTGCTTGTTTACCAATCTGTCTCCACTTCTGTAAATAAATATGTTTAAACCACATTTGCATTTTGGTGGGAACAATTACCACATATATCACATGAAACCTGTACCACGGAATGGTCATCGTTAATACTATCTGACGTTAACCATTCATGTTCGTTTTGGTTGTTACAGCTATTACTGAAAGAAGACTAGATTTCTTTATGATTCGTCTGTATATTCAAAACAGAACAAATCCTATGTCTTATTAAGGATTACAAAAAAGTGTTATTCCAAAATGTAACATATGTTACATTTGACCTCTTTCTAAATGGCACTGACTGAAGAGTGAGTGAGTGAGTTTAGTTTTACGCCGCACTCAGCAGTATTCCAGCTATATGGCGGCGGTCTGTGAATAATCGAATCTGGACCAGACAATCCAGTGATCAACAGCATGAGCATCGATCTGCGCAATTGGGAACCGATGACGTGTGTCAACCAAGCCAGCGAACCCGATCCCGTTAGTCGCCTCTTACAACAAGCATGGGTTACTGAAGATTCATTCTACCCCGGACCTTCACGGGTCTCACTGACCTAAGAAGGAATATATGCACTACATGGAGAGTTTCAGAAACATGTGGTGTCGTCACTTGTTTACAATATAGAAATTGGACAGAAATAGTACATGCTACATCAGATTCATAATTTGTTTGACGTAAGTTCAGTATTGTATGAGAGTACTGTGCAGACTTTAACAGGTTTCAAGTTCCTAATAAACACTCACAGTTCCTATGACTAGGCGGTATAAGACAACAAATGATTATATAAGGAAATGGAAAAGTGACAAGTAGAAGCGAGAAATAGGTTTAGTAAATACATGAGGAAAAGGGTTGTGCCTTCTTTCCACTTCAGTCTATTTCATCCTGTCAGTACAACTACCGTAAATTTGGAAAAAGGATGGTGATTCAACTTCACGCCTTTAATGCTGGACGTTCTCATTGATAACATCTTGGTGAAATTTGTGGGTAAAACATTTAGACAAGAAGACGGCATCCCCATGGGCACCAATTGCGCTCCCCCCTCCTTGCGGATCTGTTTCTTTATGCATATGAATAAGAATGTCTGCTGGGGTTGACAAAATCAAAACAAGGTAATTTGGCCAAGGAGTTTAATCTAAGCTTCCGGTATATCGATGATTTAATATCGTTCAATAACCATCAAATAGCCTATTCCCTTCCACTGATTTACCCACCTGAACTTGAAATTAAGGAGACAAGTGAGACCGCCTCAACTGTTTCTTATGTAGATCTATGCATAAAGATTCAGAGTGACAAAAACCTCTCCACAAGGCTGGATGACAAAAGGGATTATTTCAACTTCCCAACAGTCAACTTCCCTTTCATGTCGGGCAATATTCAAACAGTTCCAGCCTTTGGTGTTTACATTTCACAACTTTTGACGTACAATCGAGCGTAATCTTTTTATCAGGATTTCAAAGAGCGCCATGCCACTCTAGCTCAGAAGTTGTCTGATAAAGGTTACAACATTCAAGGCCTCAGTAACGTTCAGCTTTTCGCGAACATTATTACTTCATAGTGATTCATAAACACATGCTTTGTCATCGTATCGCATGTTGATAATCATTGGAGTGTCTGGTCCAGACTCGATTTGTTTACGAACAACATCGTACAGCTGTAATACTGCTGAAACAAATATATGCTCATGATATAGTCACAATTGTACAATCCGAGATTTCTTAAGGAAGTGGAAAGGGTTTGTCGCTTCTATATAGTGCAATCCCGACTTGATAATGGTCCTGTTCAGGAGCAATGTAATAGTAAAGGGATTTACTCTTTCACAAAAACAACTATGAAGAACCTTATTTTAGTATAGAAGCACTACTCCGGTGACCATGGCAATATGTATTCGGTTTTGAACCCAACATTAACATATTTCTTTTTGAGTCAGTGCCATTTGGAAAGAGGTCCAATGTAATATACGTTATATTTTGAAATTACACTTTCTCAGTAAAGTAAAGAATCTAGTACTTTTTGGGTAGAGGCCCATCCGGGATTCTCTGAGTCAAGAACCTATCACCAGCATATCCGGGATTCTCTGAGTCAAGAACCTAATCACCAGCATATCCAGGATTCTCTGAGTCAAGAACCAAATCACCAGCATATCCAGGATTCTCTGAGTCAAGAACCTATCACCAGCATATCCAGGATTCTCTGAGTCAAGAACCTATCACCAGCATACACATTTTACCCACTCAGCCACCACGGCTTCCAAAAAAATCAACAAAAATATATAAAACTGAACTGATAGTCTGGATCATGTTCTTTGTGCAACCCTCTGACAAGCGTAAAGTGGCGTGTCTCCAATTTGGAAAGTGGTCAAATGTAACTTACATATGTTATATTTTGGGATTACACTTTCTCAGTAAAGTAAAAAATAAAGATTTGTGTTGGGTTGAGTCCCATCCAGAATTCAGTGATACTGAAAAAGTGTGATCGACAGGTATAACATACTAGATGCACATGTTTCCTGTGTGTGACAAAACTGTGTATAAACATAATCTATTACTTAACAAGTTCAACAAGATTTGTGATCACGAGAAATGAATTCAACCAAAATTCTTAATTTCTTATATAGTCTGTTTGCAGTGAAAACGTACCGATGAATTTCACTTTAAACAAAACAGTAAATCAAATAAAGTGAAATTAAGATTGCGAATCATCATAATTTTACCTTGCCAAATGAACATTTAAATCTCAGAATTTTATTCAACTTAGGATAAATGTTGTTTAACAAACGATCATAGATTCAAATCGCTATTATTGGTTTGTATTACAAGGGGGTAAGCGCAGTAGATGGAACGTGAAACAAATGCACGTGCGGTACGTGATGATCGTTAACTTAGACCAGCCCTACTTGTTCTCGGTGTTTCCTCTAATGTGCATACCCCCTTGTAATACAAACCAATAATAGCGATTTGAAACTATGATCGTTTGTTCAACAACTTTTATCCTAAGTTGAATAAAATTCTGAGATTTGAATGTTCAATTGTGCCTCCATCGAACAGGTGAACTTCTTGAAAGCAGTTTGGCGCCAGTCGCTCTCCTCTACGTCGAAACACTCGAACTGTGCCATCGTTTCTGAATCGACTTTCATTTGTAAAGAGCACTCTTTCCCAGTCTACAACCGACGTACAGTTCGTGCCCATTACAGTCTGCGTTGACGTGTAGACGGGTCAAGGACATTCCACCCAGCGGAAGGTAGGCTCGTATACCAGCCATACCAAGTCGTCGAAGGACTGTTCGTCAGCTGTTGTCGTGTCCTGGTGCTGTCGCCGCCGTTGACGCCGTCGTCGCGGATTTATTCCGGAGGTGGATCTGCCGGATGAAGCGGTCTTTGGTCGGTGTCGTGACTCTTGGTCTTTCCGATCTTGGTTGGTCGTGGGTCTGGCCTGTTTGCTGGTAGCGGTTTATCAGTTTGCTGATGGTGGCTCAGCTGCATTTGAAGGTTCATGCCAGCTGACGTTGTGAAGCCCCCATATTGGCCATATAGATTGCCCTGTCTCGATGCGCCTGCGTAAGTCTTGGCAAAATTCATGTCGGTTTTGGTTACTGCATGGTTGCTCTGTCCAACATCGGTATTCATGCCAGAACCATGCACGTACCTTTGGACCAATGTCCCACAATTACGTTTTGACGTACGAAGTTTTCAAACAGCAGCTTGTTAGCGGGGACATGTTGCGTTTTGGCGAATGTTTTCTGCTTTGATTCAAACCTGCACAAGCGTTTTTGTTTCTCATACACTTACTTTAAAGTAATAACTTTCTTTTGGCAGGTAGTTAATGTTCATGGTCACTTGTATGTTCGTTTATTTCAAGACCTGCAAACAATATGCAAATCTGGCGGCCAGATGATACGAACTTTAATACTTTGATTATATGGACCTTGGATTACACATTCACTTCCCAGCGCGCATATATTTGGAAAGTACTGCCGCTGATGGTCATGATCTTCAACAGCTATATGACGGCGGTCTGTAAATAATCGAATCTGGACCAGACAATTCAGTGATCAACAGCATGAGCATTGATCTACGTAATTGGGATATGATGACGTGTGTCAACCAAGTCAACGAGTCTGACCCCCCGATCCCGTTAGTATTCAGTAATCAAAGTTACTGAAGATCAATTCTAACCTGGATCTTCACGGGTGGGTACCAGGTAGAATGTACTAGCGTGCCAATTTATCAAATTTCTAAAGCCACCATGTTACATTAAACACGAAAGGTTTTCATAATGTAACTCATTTTCATGGACTGGTGAGTGTAAACGGGGAGAACAATTACTAGTAGATGAACGCCCCAAGCATCAACACAATAGGAATTCAATAATCCACATGACGGCGAAACTCATTGTTCGGTGGGTTGACGATCGAATGTAAACAAATGCATAGCTTGAGCAGAACAGAAGCCAAAACCCCAGGAAAGATGTGCCAAGCAAACAGTTAATCAGTATATGTTTACTAAGCACGTTACACTTTCCCTTGAGTGTTAACATTAGAAAACCACACTATGCCTGCTTGATTATTCATCTGCAAATACCCCCTTTAAGAGGATTCTGATTTCCCAATGGAATCATATCTAAAATGGTATTTCCCAACCTTATTGAAACTGTCGCAGTCATCTGTTCTGTACGACAAATCTATTATGTTAATATTACAGTATGTAAAGCAGTAACATGCACCCTTTTCATTGGGAAGAAAGTAGTCACATGGCTTACTGAACACTTCCATACTCACTGAGACGCGCAGGTGGCCAACACGCAGGATTCAGGAGCTGCAGTCATGGGATATCACCTTCCACTTCTGTTCCTTCTGGGTTTGGAAGTTTGTTTTTCTTTTGTCACTGGTCAGAACACGTGTGGTCAGTTCTCCTACCACCGTCACACGGGCCTAGATGACAAGACTTTCTCTCAAGATGGGTTACTGGTAAAAGTCTACACTGTTGAGAAAGCCTTGGTCGAGTGTTCTTCCGACTGTTTCCATGACCCAAACTGCAACATGTTTGTACTTAAATCCACCTCAGGGAGTGTCGGATGTACAAACGGTCTTTCGTCGACTCCACACATGCCTCATCGGCCTCTGGTTTTCGATACTATGGTGGTAAGTTGCTGTTGTTCTTTTACTTCCAACAGGAAATTTGTAGATAATCAGTGATGATAAAAATCCTCATCGTAATTAACATCTTCAAGGGTTCATCTTTTAAGCCATTTTTCAGATAATGAAGTCAAATTTGGCAGGAACATACACAGTACGGGGTTTCGTTTTCTATGGAATTTCTGGAAGCCTCCTGGAAGGATGGCATCAATGCAATACAGACTTGTTCATAAAAACCCTCATGAAGCACCCGTTTCTGCTATGTTGAAAATCCTATTTCTGTCCATTATCCAGCATTTGTCTGATAAATATAATGACATTTAGTAGTTATCTATAAAACTAATAGTTTAAGTTATATTTTTGTTGTTGCGATATTGCAAAGTTTTACCTTCCATTGACAATTCAGTTTAAGTACACTCAAAGTTCATTTCGTTGAGGTACATCATTTCCAAAGAAAGCTTTCTTCAATGAAGCTGAACACATGCTTGTTCCCAAATGAAGCTGAACACATGCTTGTTCCCAATACTGATAGACAATACCCGAATATAAATATATTTAATATTTCCGACCTCATGTTCAATATTCAAGCATTCCTTATTTTTGACGATTTACTGAAATAACGTACATGTACGTACATCTCAAGCCTTATTGTACATGAATCATGACGATGTCCTCAATATTTAAAAACAATGCTACTTTGATATTTTATTATCTTCTCACTTCAAACAGATCATATAACACAACAAATGCACAATAAATCTTTTCTTAAAATTGATGACAATCGATTTTTAAAAATCTTTCAAAGCTTTTGATTTAGAATTACCGATATTTTTTTCGTTTTGTATTTATTTTAATTAACTGTGGTTTCTTTGTGGCAAGAAGTTGTGATGTAATTCCTGGTAATGTAAGTCGGACGGAGAAGGCCATATGTTGTATCACAGCATCAATAGTATTGTGACTACTGGCTGGGCAGGCATTTCATCCTATTAGAACAATATAAGATGTACTACATCCATGAATATACATAGTACTCATCAGACAAATGGTCTTCTTGTCGCACGTGGTTGCACTTGGCCTTGTCATCTAAGAAGCTACAGGCAGAGAGTTGCGTCCCAAAGTCATGCAAAAACTCTCGTTTGCCCGAATGCTGGTTCGTCCTGATTCTATTTTTAGTTTTGTCAGCACCATTTAACTTGAACAAGAGATACTGGGTACCACAAAAGTTGAACAAGTTTAAAACCTGCATCACTTTAGGGAATTAGGGCTAACAGATTTTCACAGGACATTTATTTAAAGCGTAACATCGTCGTCAGAGATTCAGTTTGGTCCGGACTGTACTCGTTGACAGCAACGCGAATGGCAGAGAGTCCACCGATGGAATAGTCTGGTAACATCTGATGGAGGACAGCCTGTCTACTGCCGAGAGAACTAACGGCGGCATGCCGTGTTCAGGATCTCTCGTTGTATGGTGGATTGGGAGTTGGGAGGAAGTTGTAGGCAGGAGAGAACTCAAGGGTCATCGTTAACGGAAATATGACGGTTCAGCGTCTAGGATGACATTCTTCGACCAGTTGCCATACGTTTTCCACAACAGCAGCAAGGTGGTGGCTGTTGTCAGCCCAATGCAGCCCGAATTGAACAGAACTTTCTTGCAACAAACAAGATCAACGTGTTGCCTGCACATCTCTGAAGAACTCATCTGAGATGGCAGGGATCGTCCACTGACAAGAACCGATTCATGCTCTCCAAGAAGAGGCTGGCGACATATCCCACGTGACGTCATCAGAAGAATGCTTTTTTTGTGCGCGCCTGAGAAGTGTTGCGTGTCTTGCTGCTTGTTTTTACTGCCACATCTCCGTTCGGGCATCTGTCCTACCAATATTAGTTGCTTCTTTGCTTCTTTATTTGTGTTTAACAAGATTGATTCTAAGCTGTTGTGCATTTTCTTGTGGCCGCCAGTTTATGTCACAGTGCATTATGACATCTTTATGTGGTTACGTGCTAGTCTGAAATACAAATCTGTGATACTCTAATTATTTTACTGTCCATTGTTGACATTTGTTTATAGTATATTCTTAATGTATATATTGTTTTTCTCATGATATGGGTGAAATATTGCCCACGTGACATTTAAAAGCACCAAGGTGCGATGAGGTAGCCTAGTGGTTAAAGCGTTCGTTCGTCACGCCGAAGATGCTGGTTTAATTCATGACATGGGTACAATGTTTGAAGCCCCTTTCTGGTCTTTCCCCGTCGTGATATTGCTGGAATATTGCTAAAAGTGGCGTAAAACCATACTCACTCACTTTAAACTCACCGTAGTTTTAACCTCTGTATATTTCAGCGTCCTGTACAATGTACAAGTCCAGCAACCAGTGCCAGGCTGGATTTTCCCTTTATCCAGGCACAGGTCCAGCGGATGCCCACTGCTACAGCGCCGCTGGGCTCTGGGTACTGACGGGATCCAGTAGCAACGTGTGCAAGCAAGACGAGTGGATCAACACGGTAATCTAATATTTTCGCAGTCATATACACATATATTTATTGTTATAGTATGTTGCTTAACACCACACTCAGCCCTGTTCTAACTATATGACGCCGCTCAACAGGTTAGACAGACTTGAGCAGAGTCCAGTCATCTCAAACGACCAGGGAAGATGCTGGACACACACCCTACATAGGCATCCCCACAGGAGAATATCAAGTATACTCACACACAAAAATGTACAAATAACTGAGATGTATCCTTCCTTTGGACATGGACTGTGTGACTTCAGTTGTGATGAGGTATCCGCAGAGTTATCCGGTCGTATCTGTTAAAAATATAACGACATTTGGTATGTTGAAATGGATAGTAAGTAGGGGGCTCGCCATACTGGTTCCATGTATTGAATGGTACATTTTCACCTTGATTACACATTTAATACTGACAACTGAAATATGTGATGACCATTACTCAGTTCTTTTGTTCAAGATGTTTAAGATGGATTATGATAAAGCGTAGTTGTTAATGGGGCTCACCTTATATGTTCTGCTTGTGTGCACTATTCATATTATGTTTACCATGCTCAAAGATTCTCTCAAAATGCATGCTTGCCTGTCTTAACCTTTCTCCTCTGTAACTGGTGGAGCTGAATTTTAGCATATGTGTCTCCTTGTGACATTATGTTTTGTTAACGTTGTCAGATTTTAGGTGCTCGTTATTATAGGGGCCGTGAGTAGGTCACGGCACTTCGCGAGACCTTAGTATTTCCGGTGACAAACAACGTTTCATACCTTTTCGAATGTTCACATGGTGGTCAGTTGACAGTAAGAAGCGGATAATCCTTGCAGGTATAACAAATTTCCGATCTATCCATCCCCAAATTAGCCAACTATACTGTCAACAGCTGTGTCAGCGAAGCATGGTTGTTCACTTGGTCCGGTATAGTAAAGTCATATTTGGCGGTCGCGCAATTTGGAACCAGAACTGGTTCTTGAATATATGCTTGTCACCGGAAATGTAGTACCGTAAGTAAATTAGGCCACGTCTCGCATATCGCAGGTTGGCGCGCGCAAAGGGAGCCGGGAACCATCTTCGTACCGGAAGTAGCGCCTTGCAAGACTTACAGTCTCTATAATTATATCAGAAAAGACAGAAACATTTGGTCATTAATTGAACACTGCTGATATCCTGTCCAGGTGAGCTACAGTGCCTCGGCACAGCTTTAGTGTCAGAACTAATGCCTTTGAGATGATGAGCACGATGAATCGAAACGAATACCTAAACTTTAGTCCTCAAAGCCATCGCCGCATTGGAGTTTCGTTTCGTTGGAGGTAACTTAATGGACTGTGTGGTTCGATTCGCTGACTTAGTTGACACTTTTGAAATTCATTTTCTTTGCTAGATCTATTTATATGTTTTCATTTTGATATAAATATATATATATAGAATGAATGAATATATGTGAGCAAACATTTGTACTAGGGCCTTTTGATGTGGTTCTGACGACCAATATGATACTGGTTTCAGATCACAAACACAAGTTTGGTGATGACAAAGCATGTTTTATTATATTTCTACCTTTAATATGGCTGTCCGGTTTACCGGAATTGCTTTCGAGGACTCAGGTTTATCACCCTGTCGTAGAACGCTGCGTTTGCTTCAGAGGTACATGTCCATGTCAAGGCTATTTCCCAGGAAACTGATTTTGTGTTTTCTACGCCAGGCACGGGGCTTATATAAGTGATACAAGTATTTTGTTAAATATATTTGTTAAAAGAATGAAAATGCTTGAATTGGGGTGACATATTTCGTTACGGTTAAGAATAACTGAAATAGAAAAACGTGCTGTCTCCTTTCAGACTGAAGTTAGTATTCCCCTTCCAGCGCCCATTGTGCCAGGAGTAACAATCGACATCCGGGGTTCCAGGAAGAATAATTCAGAGTAAGAGAAAGTTGTTTGTTTACATTTAGTACTTACAGTTCTCGAGCTTACTTGCATAAACGTGCATCTATGTGTAATGTAACATGTACCTGTCAATGTTCAAAGAGAAACTACATCTCACCAATTTCGCACTCACCTCCGCCTGATACGATGAAACCATCCCAACAGGGCTCCCAGTTATCGTTGTATTGTACACTCTAGAAAACTGTTTGTTTGTTCCTTTCACAAACCTCCCAAGGAAGATATCTCGATGGGTTCCACTACTTGTCATTCTCACCTCACCTCCAAAAAATCTAGTTCCTATTTTTATTTCACAAACCTTTCTAAGAAGATATCTCGATGGGTTTCACTATATGTCATTCTTTCGTTCCTTTAGAAACTACTGTCTTTGCTTATAGCCATCACTCCTGGTATCGTACCTTCAACAAAACGTATATTTTGTTTTGGTTTTTCACAACATTTGCTAAGAAGACATTTCCACAGTGTCGTGAGTACCATTGTATTGAACCTCCAGGAAAACGTTGGTCTTTGTATGCAGCACAAACGTTCGATACGAAGTCATCTCAGTAGGGTACAGTCCCGCAGGTATCATTGTATGGGATAACGTTTCTCTTTGTTTACTTCACAAACCGTCTTCAGTGCAGGTAATTAATGCGTATGGGCGATAAATAGCCCTTCTTGTATTGAAAATTAATGATGATCTGGATCCCAGCAGACGCTGTGTCTGTGTGTGATGGGTGTGTGCGTGCATGCTGAAACCAAATCACGATAAAAGAGACAATACACCTTAAAACCATTGAACCAGATACAGTCTTACGTGGATAAGTTGCATTTACTCCTGACGTATTTGTAACAGATTGTTCAGCGCACTTCGCCAGTCAGGAAGCACCATGGAAACAACCCTTCTTAGAGTGATGCCCGACGACGATACTATATTTGGAGTGTATACCAGTATCACGTGGGTGGGCTCCTACACCATCCCGAATTTTCCCATTGCTCCGGAGGTAGTGTTCGACTTGAATGTGGTTGTCACAGAGTTGCAATTCAAGGTAGGCCCAACGTCGATGATACAGGGTGTTTATCACGTGTTAATGAAGATCGATAATTTTGTAAGTTTGTTTTAAATGTTGGCAAATCATTTCCAAACGTTGCAATATATGGAGAATGTGGTTGAACATTTTACAAACTGTATAAAATATTGGATAAAATGTGTTACAATGCCTTCATATAGATATCCAAAACAGTGTTATTTTATGTTATATTAAACCTGTAATCGTAAACGCCCTAAATGGGCAACCCAATAAAGAAACTATCTACGTTTGGATTTGGCCATGTTTGGCTGTATCAAGGTGTTAGCCCATGGAAATGTAGATAATTGTATAAAAATGTTTACTCAAAGAGTCATCGACTGTGCGAATCAAAACTGGCATTCTGAATTATTAGAAAAGAAATCTTTATGCTTTTATTCATACATTAAAACTATATTTAATCAAGAGTTGTATATTAATGCTGTGAAGAACCAAAATACAGAACGCCATTTAGAACAAGTTTTAATCGTTTAAGAGTACAAAATGTTAGAAAAGGTTTTTGTAATGCTGAAAATGATGATGCTAAATGCCCCCTGTGTAATGTATTAGAAGATGAGAAACATATGTTTTATCAATGTCCATTATATCATAGTCTCTGTATGGAATTAACTGTCTCTTTACAATGTAACATACGTCAGGATAATTTTAAACATTTACTGAATACAAATGATACAAATACCTTGTTTATATTAGGTAAATACTTACATAATATCTTTAAGATCCATCTACAACAATTGTAACGCGCATATGCATGTCTTTCTGTATATATCTGTATGAATAATGGGTCATTTGGCCTTGAAAACAATAGAGATGATGATGAATAAAGACACAAGGAAAGAATTATGTTTAGGATATGTGTCATTTGACTTTACATTCTGGAGGTAGAGAGTTGCGTCCCTTCGTCGTGCCAGGATTGGTTGTATTGAAGATTCCGTTTAATGACCCTTTTCTTCTTCTTTTACCACTGTGCTCTTATGTTTCACCACAGTGGTAAAACTCTGCAAATAAACACTCCTCTTGAGGGTAAATACTTAAAGGAAGTGTGTTCTTAATTCTAACTGTTTTGACAAGTTTGTCTCGCTCAAAATGCAGAAGAAATGATAAAACCGAAATTTTCATATTTAAATGCTATCGACAATTTGAAGAGCAAGGAGTCCACACGAGTACCGCGGGAACTTGAACTAGTAATACTTTATCCAAGATATTTGATAACTGTAGACATCGCATATTTCATCTGTGACACATATAAAAACATGCCTTGATCCTTTGACCATTATCGCCATTGGTGATTCCGGGTGGAACAAGTCACCATGGTGATGTAAGACGTTACTAAATGGTAAGGGCTGTCAGACTAGGTTTATTGCTTGTTATGGTTACCTGCATCGTGTCATTATTAGACGGATTGAATATAGCCGTGGTCTTTTTTCACCACAGGGCAAACCTCCGGATATAGAGTTTTCTCTTGAAGGTGAACACTTGAAATGTGTTTATAATTCGCATTTTTGTTCGCAATTTAAGCTCAAATTGCAGAAGAAATGACAACAGAGATAATAACACCGAAAGTTTCATATTTAATTGATATCGCATGGGGTCCACACGATTGCCGCGAGGAAATTGAGCTAGTATCCAAGATATTTGTAAACTTAAACATGGTATACTTCATCTGTGACACATATATATCCGAAAATATAACGAGGTATACTTCATCTGTGACACATAGATATTTGTAAAAATAATCATGGTCTACTTCATCTATGACTCATATATGTGAGTGTGGCATTAAACTTCAAACAAACAACTTTTGATCATGATGAAATATTACACAATTAGCAACTAGTTCATGTGCCTTCCAATTTGAGTATATCCTGTCTGTTGTCTGGATGTTTCGGACCCGTGAAGATCCGGGTTAGAATGAACCTTCAGTAACCTATGCTTGTCGTAAAGGATCAGGTGTTCGGTTTGCTGGCTTGGTTAACACATGTCATCGGTTCCCAATTGCGCAGATCGATGCTCATGCTGTTGATCACTAGATTGTCTGGTCCAGACTCGATTAACATTCACTCACTCACTCACCCACCCTCCTACCCACCCACCCACTCACTCACTCACTCACCGACCTACCCACCCACTTACCTACTCACTCACTCACTCACTCACTCACTGTTTCAGGTGAAGCTGAACGGGAATATCCTGACATCATTTGACATCGGAAATCCCCTGAACGTATCAACGTTAATACAGATGTACTACTGGCGGTCTGTGGAGCGGGTCAAGCTGACCTACCCTTGAATACAGACACAGCACAATGACTGATTCGGGCTTTTCGCTGCTTCGTTTCAGTGATATCATTTTGAGGCGCCCATTAATTGTGTATTTCATATTTTATGTTATCAAAAATGTATTTATTGATATCATAAAATGAATAATTAATTATCAGAATTGATTTTTATGACGTAAAATAATTATTGATATCACAATGTGATCTTGAATGGAATATAAATATGAAAACTTGTTTTGTGGTGCATACATATGTATGTGGGTTGACAGTCTGATGGGTTTGAACATTTCCTGGTGTTTTAACACAAAGCGACCGGGTATTAAATTGATAACAATGAAGGATGTATACCCAGGGGAACCTGTACTCATATACAAAGTTGTACAGAAACATGCAGTACATTGATTGTACAGACACAGTTGTTCACGGGTTGTACAGAAACATGCAGTACATTGATTGTACATTGATTGTACAGACACGGGTTGTAGTTGTACATGCAGTACATTGATTGTACAGACACAGTTGTACACGGGTTGTACAGAAACATGCAGTACATTGATTGTACAGACACAGTTGTTCACGGGTTGTACAGAAACATGCAGTACATTGATTGTACAGACACAGTTGTACACGGGTTGTACAGAAACATGCAGTACATTGATTGTACAGACACAGTTGTTCACGGGTTGTACAGAAACATGCAGTACATTGATTGTACAGACACAGTTGTACACGGGTTGTACAGAAACATGCAGTACATTGATTGTACAGACACAGTTTGATTGTACACGGGTTGTACAGAAACATGCAGTACATTGATTGTACAGACACAGTTGTACGGGTTGTACAGAAACATGCAGTACATTGATTGTACAGACACAGTTGTTCACGGGTTGTACAGAAACATGCAGTACATTGATTGTACAGACACAGTTGTACACGGGTTGTACAGAAAAGTGCAGTGCGTTGATTGTACAGACACATATTGTACGGGGATGTACAGAAACATGCAGTACATTGATTGTACAAATATCTTGTACACGGGTTGACGCATGTTGTACTCATGTAGTACAGAAAACTGGTCACATTTTGGTAACTAGTTACACGTACACATTATTTGTATTGATTGATAGACACATGCAGACAGTTTAATGACACACATACACGTTTTGTACTTACATGTACACGGATTGTACAGACATGTACACGTGTTGTACAGACAGACATGTACTTGGGTTGTACAGACATGTACATGGGTTGTACAGACATGTACACGGGTTGTACAGACATGTACAAACATGTACGCGGGTTGTACAGGCATAACATCAAATGTCATAATTAACTACCGGCTGTAATGTGAAACACATGGGTTCAACTAGAGTATAGCACGGCTCCAGGCAATAAAAACTAAAACACCCAAAACCAAACTAATGTAATAACTGAAATACTGAACAGCAGCCAAAGCGGCACTTAAACTCCCAGACGTTAACTGAAACAAACCATTATCGACAAACGAAAATGAAAGCCTATCAAAACAAACAATCTTCCAAAATGGAAAGGTAAATACCAAAATTCCAATTCTATAATAAACAATATTTATCAGATTTATGTTAGATTTTAGGTTTTTTTAGTAGCGGTTTTACACTGCAAATACCTAAAATCTAACATAAATCTAAAAAATAGTGACAGGGCGATAACAATTTTACAAATAGGTGGTCACACAACATTGAAAAACACCAAACGGGCAAATGTACATACTGAAACGAAACAGAAACGCCTGAACATGCCCTACTACACTGCACAAACTACCAGCAGCACAAAATGGTGCTCAAGAATTCACTGGACACTAACACACACCTAACGCATACAATCCCATATAACCAACTAGTATCAATATACAAAACACAACCCTAACACCTAAAAAACACAATAGAACCGAACCACCTCATGGTTCCGTTCTATCTGTATAGATCGGTAGATCATGATCTATAATGCGTTTGAGAAATGGTGCCTTGAATAAAGCTTATACAGAGTTATGGCCCTTGCTCAATGCTTTTTTGGCTTCGTCTTCATGAACAACAGACTTAAGCCAACTTGCGACCCTCTCATACCACACACACCACGTTACACTGCCAGTTAACAGTTGTATTCTTGTCTTGACGGATAAACATTTCACTGTAGTCTGTAACCAAACTTATTTGAGTGTATTCCCCGAAATTGAATGTTTGCATGTTCACCAGCTGATATAAGTCTTATTAAACTGGTGATTCAATGTCAGAATAGGAAATTTACCAAAGAAAGAGATTTGATGAGATGGGGGCTGGTGCCTAAAGCCACTAAGTGTACAGATGTTCACAAACAAGCGGTTAAACCATGTATGTTTTCTGAGCACGTTACACCTTCCGTTGGGTGTGAAATATTAAAAACCACATTATGAATGCTTGATTATTTATCTGCAAATATACTGTTTTACAGGATCGTGATTCCTGATGGAATTAGACACCTAAACCCGTATGCCCCAACCTTACTGACGCTGTTGCCGTCAACTGTTCTGAATGACAAATCCATTATGCTAATATTGTCAATTAGCATTATGTAAAGCAACAACGTGTACCCTTTTCATTGGGACGAAGAAACCCAGCAACAACATAAACTGGTTGATTAGCATAAAAGCTTGAATGACTGCTGCGTAGAAGCATGACTTGCAGAAGACTTCCATACTCACTCAGACGCGCAGATGGTCAGCCAATACGCAGGATTCAGGAGGTGCAGTCAAGGTACATCACCTTCCCATTCTGTTCCTTCTGGGTGTGCAAGTTTGTTTTTCTTTTGTCACTGGTGAGAACACATGTGGTCAGTTCTCATACCACCGTCACACGGGCATAGATGACAAGACTTTCTCTCAAGATGGGTTACTGGTAAATGTCTATACAGTTAAGAAAGCCTTGACTGAGTGTTCTTCCGGCTGTTTCTATGACCCAAACTGCAACATGTTTGTACTTAAATCCAGAGAGTGTCGGATGTACAAACGGTCTTTCTTCCACTCCGCACATGCCTCATCGGCCTGTGATTTTCGATACTATGGTTGTAAGTTGCTGTTGTTCTTTTACTTCCAACACGCTATTTCACGTGTTTTGTAGATGATCAGTGATGATTAAAACCCCATCATCATCATTAGTTGTCTCCCACACAGAAGGTTATAATAAGTTAAAAGCTCAAACATCCCAGGGTCATGATAAGGCTCACCTTTCCGAAGGGTTAGTGGACTAGATTTGTGCCTTCGCCCGTTTTTCCGTCGATGGTCAGCCAACTTTGTCCCCGTAAATATAATGGTGAAAATCACAGTTGCCAGATGGTGATTTTGGTAGGTTTGGTATGATGAAAGAAAACAATTCATTTTAACAGGAAAATTGTCTGTTATCGAAAATGTCCTGGGACTCCTTTCACGAAGCAACCTTTACTAAGGTTAACCTTAACTTCCATTCTTTAACATTGCCTTAGTAACTTACAATCACCTTAGTGCTTTGTGAAAGGAGGCCCAGGTCTTTCAAGAGGTCTAAATGTTTAATGTCACTTGTGGCCCTGAGACAGTCAGATGATGAAGTCTCATTTGTGCATTGCGGACCCAATAATGGGGTTCTTTTTCTTTGAAATGTCTGGAAGGATGACACCAATACAAAACAGATGTGTTCATATTGTTCAAAACTCTGACAAGGGTAAATTGGCATGACTCCAAAGGACAAAAGCTATGAATATACAAATATTGCTATTTTGACATTTTATTGTCTTTTCACATGGAAAAGATCGCATAACACAACAAATTCACAATAAATTTGTACTTAAAATTGAGGACAAAATATTTTCAAATCATTTAGACCTTTTGAATTAGATTTACCAATATCATTACAGCAAGGTTTGATTATATATCCATAGCGTTCGAATGTAATATAATCAATCTGTGACATACATTTGATGGTATCATAAATGTGAAAGTTAGTGTAAAACTATATTGTTATTTAAACATTTTCGTCTCTTATAAGTACCTAATGGCAGACAGTTACTTGTTTCAATTTTGAAAATGTATCCCTCTCATATTAGAAGAAAGCATCAATGTTTGAGAGTCAATATAAAGTATATAGCTGTTATATTATTAATTTCATATGTACAATGTCATAAAATGAGTTTATATGTCTTAGATTGATTTTATTGCAGTTAATAGCTATACATATAATCAAATATACATAGACATCTCAAATTCAAATTAATTCTTCTTTCAAAATTTTTTTTACAAATTATTTGTAGTATTTTTATGACAAGAATTTGGGATGGCAGCAATTCCTGTTTCAAGTCAGGTTTGACTGTCGGGCTGAAAAAAGCCATTAAAAATAGTATCACAGCATCAATAGTATTGTGACGACTGGCTGGACAGGCATGTCTTTCTGTTAGAACGGTATAAGATATATTATACAGAGGATTTTGTTTTTCACTAAACGACCTTCCGTACGTGTGAACTACCATATTTATTAAAAGAGGTTATGATTTGGCATCAAACGAGCAAATTATTCACTAGTTTAATAAATATGGTATAACACGTAAGGATGGATAGTATTCTGCTTATTACTGACCCGTGAAGATCCGGGGTAGAATAGGTCTTCAGCAACCCATGCTTAACACAAAAGGCGATTATGCTTGTCGTAAGAAGCGACTAACGGGATCTGGTGGTCAGGCTCGCTGACTTGGTTGACACATGAGATCGATGCTCATGCTGTTGATCACTGGATTGTCTGGTCCAGGCTCGATTATTTACAGACCGCCGCCATATAGCTGGAATATTGCTGAGTGCGGCGTAAAACTAAACTCACTCACTCACTGCTTATTACTCGCCCACATTAATCAAGAGTAATCGCTGAAAAAACGACCTGACAGTGTGATGACATTTGCAGCGAGTCAAGCTAGGTCAAGCGTATGAATAAATTGCTTCGGTGAAATCATGGGATTTCCACCTGCATATAGTTCGAAAATACCTGACGTACTGTGTTGTTTATATTTCTTACTCATTTACTTTATTTTATTATATGAAATTATGTATGCAGATGTAGCTATGTAAAAATGCTTTAAATAAAAATCTGAAATATCACGACTTCGAGATGTGTTGTGAATGAC